GCTGCAAAATTTTTTACCCCTTAAATGTTGATACCCTGGGGGAAAGCCCTGGCCGTTCCACCTTTGTTATGGCTCTTGGTTTCTCCACCACGGGGGGCACCACAGGGACACTTGAAGAACCACAGAAGGGAGATGATCTTGAAATCGCAGATTAAGCATCACAATCTCTCTCTTTTTTAAAGCCTCAAACCCTCTCTTAGAAACCAAAAGTGATGTTCCTGCCCTTCTTGCTGTCCGGAAGAGGCTTCAGTAGTTCTGGGGTGGTTGAGAATGACTCATGGACCTTCTGAGGTTGTCCACGTGTGGAGGAACAGGGTTGAGCCGAAAAAGCCGAAATCTTGTGTGTCCCCTCCCCACGTCCTCCTCAGAAATTTGTGTCTTATTGAGACAAATTACATCCTGTCAGAGCTACTACGTATTGTTAATGACTGGCTGTCACTGAGGGAAGAGTTCTCGAAACAGGACTGTTGTGTTTCTATTGCTTTAAATATATTGTTGGTCCTGGTATCTATCTGCTAGTTTCAAATATTATAGAATCATAAAACAATTGAGCTGGAAGGGGTCTGAGAAGGCCATCCTCCAGCCCAACCCCTCCTTGTCCAAGGCAGGAATCAAAATCAAAGCAGATCAGACGGACGGTGGTCCAGTTTTTTGTTGAAGGCCTCCAGCGTTGGAGCACCCACCACAACTCCCTGAGGTTATGGGTTCTGTTGTTGTACTGCTCTAACAGTTAGGAAGTTTGTCCTGATATTCGACTGAAATCTGGCTTCCTGTCGCTTGAGTCCATTCTTGTGTGTCCTGCATTCTGGGATGATGGAGAACAGATCCTGCCCCTCCTCTCTATGACTACCATTCAAGTATTTGAAAAGAGTAATGTTATCTCCCTTCCGTCTTTTCTCAAGGCTAAACCTGCCCAGTTCTTTCCGTCTTTCCTCCTAGGCCTACCAGTCCCCTGCCCGTCCATTTTGCCCTCCTCTGGACTCGCTCCATTTGGTTGGCCTCCTTCTTATATTTCGTTCTTTTTTCAGTTATCGTAGTAATGTACTGCTCCTAGCTTTTAATGCTCTTTATTTATGAATACTGTAAGCTTGGGTCCTTTTCAGGAGAAAGGCAGGGAACAAATATTTTAAATCAAACAAAGAAACAAGGGGAAAGAATGTCCCTCAAAGGAGGACGCGATGGAAACTGGTGGAAGGAGGGGAAACCCATAACTGACGTAGGAAGTGGTCCAGCTGGTGACACATCCCTCAGATGATGCGGTGACACCGTTTCTTAGGAAATGCTCTTGCCGCATGGATGGGGCAACCACTGGCCTTCAGCACACATTGCCCGACCATGAAGCGCACCAGTTCCCATTGACAATGAAGCAACAGCAGCTTCATGATTTTATTCCGAAGCGTTGCCAACCGGGTGACGTGGGTCCCTGCACCCAGTGAATGCAGGAACGCCCGCCACGGCTGATGCCAGGCGGAGGGCAGCACCCTCCCCGGGCCCACAAATCAAAGCAGATCCCTCTGGCACTGGGCGGAGGGAGGGAGGCAAGCTAGTTCCTGGAAATGCCAGCTGGATCCAGGCGGTGGCAACTAGGGTGAACTCTTCACCGGCCTGCCAAATGTCTGGATGCACAGAGATCTGTGTTTCTCAATTTCTTGTACAATTTCTTGTACAGTCGTAAATTTCTTTACGTGGCAACTAGGGTGAACTCTTCACCGGCCGGCCAAATGTCTGGATGCGCAGAGATCCGTGTTTCCCAATTTCTTGTACAGTCGTGTCCCGCTTTATGATTGCCCCGCATTACGATGAATCCGCTTCACGACAACATTTTTATCATGAAGAGGAAACTCCTGTGCCTTCTTTCCAACCTGCCGGCGGTGTGTCTATTTGGGATGAGGAGGGTCAGAAAGGGGGAAAAAATAGGTGGGCACCGCTCTCCATTTACTTCACTTAGAACCTGCTGGGGTGGCGAGATGGTGTTTTTTGGCCACAGGGAGTGGCCAATTTGGGGTGGGGAGATTTGTGTGTGGGGCGCAGCCCCCTGGGATCTGCACTACAAGCACAAGTTAAGAAAGAAAGGTAACCGTTAAGAAAAGGTAACCGTTGCAGAACGGCCGAAAAATTCTAGGACCGTCCCAGAAAGCAGCTCCTCATTTTTCCGCATGAAACTCGGAGTTAGCACATTATTCTTTTCAAATAATGTACCTCTCCTCTGAGATACTGATGCAACCCCCCCCCTCCTGAACAGGTAGTACGCTTCATAAGTTAAGACTCATGCATTTAGATTGTTATTTTTTAAAATTGCTTGCCAAAGAAATATGTCAGGGACGGAACCACGGTTTATCTGACACGATGGCAAAAACTGGGGGCAAAGAGAAAGGGAAACTCCCTTGTTTCTGGCTAGCAAACAAAGTTCCGGAGCGGCTTGCTGTGGTTCATGCCGATAGATGCTATGAAGATGCTTCTTACTTAGGGTGACCCTATGAATCTGTGACCTCTAACAAGTCCTGCTTGCTCAGGTCTTGCAAAGTCAAGGTTGGGGATCCTTTATTGAGTTGTTCCATCTCCATTATAAAGTCTTCCTCTATTCCAACATTTTCTTTTGAACAGCATCAGTATCCTTTTTTCAAGGGAGTCTTGTCTTCACGCGATGCGCCCAAATGATAGCTTCTGTTGAGTCATCTTAAACTCTAGAGAGAGTTCAGGTTTGATCTGGAACCCGTTTCTTTTTGCTGATCCGAAGCATCCACAAAACTCTCTTCCAACGCGGTAACTGAAAAGTTTACTCCAAATTCACTCTTGCTCTGTTCAATGGGCTTACTCTCCAGTAAGCCTTCCCCATGTTTACACAGATGCAGCAAGCTCTTGGACGCAGAACTTGGAAAGCACTCTGGGGGCACTAACCCCTTCCAGAAATCTACTTCTCACTCTGAACATTAGCAATGCTGGCCATCCGGGAGATGTTGTCTTCAAAAGTAATATTTCAAAGCTATCATCCCCATTGAACTCCATGGGATTTCCTTCCAGGAGTGGGTGGGTGTGCACACACACACAGCCTCGATCAACTAATCTGGAAACACAATTATTCATCAAATTAAAAGGTTGGTCAGTTCCAAGAACCTCAACCTCATTTCCAAACAAGCCCAGCTGGAAAACTATAGAAGGCAATGTCTGTCTGTCTGTGGAGAGATGTTCCTTTCTGGATGAAAGGGAACAGGGAAATAAATCTCCCTTCTGCGCTGACTCATCTGTAAACTGATGTTCATCCTCCCGTGCTTTCGGATGGTCCTGTGAGCAAGATTTTATCCCCATCGATACCAGAAGCCTTTCACCACCAGCAGAGCAGAAACGGCTTCTCGGAAGGATCTTTTTTAACCCTTCCTAAATAAGCGGAGACTTTCTGCCTTCAAAGCTTACAAGGTGTCCCTGGGTTGTGCCCGACACTTCTGTCACGTTTTCCCGAAAATAAGACAGGGTCTGATATTAATTTTTGCTCCGAAAAATGCATTAGGGCTTATTTTCAGGGAAAGTTTTAATGTTTTCATGTACAACCGTCTATATCTAATCAAATACAGTCCTGTCCTCTTCTTCTGGTTGCTGCACAAGGGTGGAGGGCAGGGGTTTCTCTTAACTAGGGCTTATTTTGGGGGGTAGGGCTTATATGACGAGCATCCTGAAAAAATCCTACTAGGGTTTATTTTCAGGTTGGGTCTTATTTTGGGGGAAACAGGGAATAAAGCACTCTCATACTTGCTGGGAGTCTCCCATCCATGAAGTCACCAGGCCAGACCCTGCTTAGCGATACAGGAGAGCAGACTGTCAGTGCCCATGAAACGTGCAGGCAAGTGGCCTGGGGGCCACCACTTGGAAGGCCCCTCCGGTTTGGGTGGTGCAAGACAGGCTCTCAGGGGAGGGGAGGACGCGCTTTGCATCAAGGAGGGGGTTGCAGGATGGAGGGAAGCTATGTATGAGTCATTTTTTTCATAATCCTGAAGTCAACCCACAAAATTAAAAGTTTCTCCTGTAATACACTCAATTCTTCACGAAGTCACAGCTCCAGGTTTCTCTGCCAGACAGAAAGTTCACGTTTACCTCCGTCACTAGTCATATATCCCATCTTTCCTCCAAGGAGCTGAAGGCGGGCTATGTTGGTCTCCCCGCTTTATCTTCACTATTGAAGACCTCCTTTCCAACCCTACGATTCTATGATTCACATCAACCCTGCTAGGTAGGTCATTTTATTAGTCAATGAATTTACTCTTACAAGAGTAGGCCAGAAAGTCCTGTCTGCCTATTTGATCTGTTGGGATAACAGATACCGTTACTACTGTTGTCTTCGTTGTTGTGAAATCTGCAGGGGTAACAGAAGGCCATCAGGTGCATGTATCATCATCATCACCACCACCAACAGTGATCATATGTCATCTCAACCACAAATTATTTTAGGACTCGGTTCCTACGTTTTAGGTTCGGCCCTTTCGTTCATCCCCGTGCACCAACAACGCTGAGAAACACAGAAGGCCATCAGGTGCATGTATCATCACCACCACCACCACCAACAGTGATCATATGTCACCTCAACCACAAATTTTTTAGGACTTGGTTCCTAATTTTTAGGTTCGGCCCTTTCGTTCATCCCCATGCACCAGCAACGCTGAGAAATGAGAATCAACGTCAACACCATCTTCTATTGGAGCAATAGGTGGATAGATTGATGACTGCTTTGACATCCTGTTTGTACATTGTGTGTGTGTGGGGAAATAAAGATAGAAGCACTTTTCTGTACACTCTTGTCCATTTGGCAAGCACCCATTAAGGAGCAGCAGCTTGCTGGCTGCGGTGGGGCAGCCCCTGTGCCTTGAAATTGTGGTCCCCCCAACCCATGTGCCTGGTCCTGCATCGCCCATGATTTCTCTCACTAAACGTCCCAGCTACAGTGCGTTTGTGTGTCCAGGTCCATGTGTGCACCTCAAGCATCAACAGGAACAGCATCAATTGCCAAGCTAGCCAGTTTTTCTGCATTTAATCGTCTCATGCCAATAAATTAAAGGTGTCGGTGCACTGGGGGAAGGAAGGGGAGGCTCACGGGGGAATCAGAGGATAGAGGAGCTCCCCAGGAGCCCATCAGGTGAGGATGGTGGCCACGTTGGGTAGTAGCGCGGTGAGCTCCGACTGGATGCCCTTGATTTGGCACAGAGGGTTGCCCCTTAGGTTGAGGTGGGCAAGCTTCGGGAAGGAGGCCAGAGGCTGGAGGTCGGAGGGGCGCCGGAGGCCTGCAGGAGAGCAGAGGAGTCAAGGAGGACACCGAGATTGGAGGTACCCCTTCCCAAAGGAAAGGCAGTGCTTCCCCTATGCTCTCCCCCCCACCTAAAATTACTGTCCTCATCAGCCTGTTTTGGGGGCGGCGGCTAAGAAGGGACTGAATCCCATCCCGGAAAAGCTCCTTGTTTGGATTACAGATCCCACTCTACCCCGGATAGCAATGGTTAAATGGTTAGGGTACTCTGGGGCTTGAAGTCCGAAAAAGTGTCTGGTTCAAGATCTAGTTTGCATTAAAGAGATGGTTAGTGGCCTGGATAGCTCAGTAGCTTAGGTCTCTTGCTGTAGAGCCAGAGGTTCGATTCCCCGCTGTGTCTCTTTGAGAGGGGCTGGACTTGATGACCTCTAGGATCTCTTCTGGCTGTTATTTAGAGGTTGGATCTGGCTGCAGGGCCAGAGGTTGGGAGTACAATTCCCCCCATAGGGTCTCCTGGGAGGAAGAGCCAGCCTGGGGGGCCTTGGGCCAGCTGCATCGTCGTCCCAGGGATTTCCCCCCAGAAGAAGGAAAGGGGGAAAATGCTTTCGAGTCTTCTTTACCCGGAAAACCCTGAAAAAGGGTTGTTCTAACTTGGGATCGACTTGGCAACACAAATTCACAAGGATACGGTTGTTGCAGAGGGAGAGCTCCTCAAGGCAGGGGAGAGGCGGCAGGCCTTCGAGGGTCTCGATCCGGTTGTCATCCACCTCCAGTACCTGGAGCAGAGAGAGCAAGAACGTGCTTTTTAAAAAAAATGCACATTGATCCTGCTGGCTCCTACAACCAAGACTTATTCTGTCCCCGTCGGAGCTTGGGAAAGTGACTGGGTTAATCCACCCTTCCCACAACCCCCTCCCAAGCTGGGGGATTCTGGGGAAGGTAGTCCGGTGCAGAGATCAGAGGGGAAAGCGTTGCTTTCTACGGTGGGTCCCTCCTGATGTCCACCGGAAGAGAAGGCTGGGAGGAGTGGCGGCCATCTGAGAACTGAGCTCACGCGGCTGGGGACGATGGGAGTTGGCGCACACCGAGTCCGAAGGGCAAGGTGTGCAAAGCAATAGCAGGGGAGAGGGAGAGAGGGGGAAGGAGGGAAGCCTGACCTCAAGGCAGCGCATCATGGCCAGCGTGGGAGGCAAGCTGCGGAGGCGGTTCTCCGAGAGGTTCATGTGGGTCACCAGCAGCAGGTGTTCGAGGTGGCAGAGGAAAGTGAGACCCTGGGGGAGAAAACAGAGAACAGAGAGGTGGGAGAAGAAGGTGAAAATGATGAGGTTCCGCCAGGCATCGTCTGTTCTCCCCTCGGCCTTTCAGGGTCACATTTTGCTGCATACAGAAGAAGTCAGGTTGTCTAAAGGCTTGTCCAGAACCGGCCTAGAACTTGGAAACCACACATGCCTAGAATGACAGAATCCTGGAGCTGGAAGGGGGGCTCAAGGGCCACCCCCTGCTCAAGCCAGGGATACAAATACAAGCAGATCTGAGGGTGGTCCAATTTTCTCTTAAATGCCCCCAGCATTGGAGGGCTCACTGCCTCCGGAGATCACAAGTGCCACCGTTGTACTGCTCTAACAGTTAAGAAGTTTTTTGGGGGGGTTCCTGATCTTCAGCCTAAATCTGGCTTCCTGCCGCTTGAGCCCATTGGGGTGTCTCCTGCACTCTGGGATAACTGAGAACAGATTTAACACGTGCAGCAATCACTGGTAGTCTGTTTTCCTCTACATTCAACATGAAAAGGGAGTTGTTATCCTTCTTTGCTACAATAAGCACGAGATGCTGATCATTTGACAAACATCACCCCTACTTCCTCCCTGGATTGGGGGGGAGGGCTACAACAGGCTTCCACACTCCTGCTTAGAAAAAAACCTGGCCTTCGTTACACCCGCCCCCATTAAACAGTAAGACAAGTCATGGGGAGGGGGAACAGGTGGTTTCTTGGCAAGGCAAAACAGTGTGGATGGAAGCGTCCTGGGAGAGCTCACAAGACTGGAGTGGGCTTGCTCCCAGCGGCCTTTCTGATCCCTACCCTTTGAGACAAGTCGACAACCCGGGCATCAGCATACTCCATCTTGAGGATGCTGTTCTCCACCAGGAACTTGCTGCGCAGATCATCCAGGTAGGCCGAACGCATGGGATCGGCAGCCTGCAAGAGGGCGAAGGAGAAGAGGGAGAGGGGCAGGAAAGATCAGCAGGGGGACCGGTGGATGGGGTGTGTGTTGCACAAAATTCGGCCTCCTCGGTCAGCTGTGTGCTTTGCCTTCAGGCTCCCTGAAGGGCCGGATCTCCCCCCCAGGAGCCTTCTTGGCGCTTCAGATTGCCAGAGGAGGCCCTCCTCTCGGGCCCATGGCCAGCGGATGGGGAGACAGGACAGGGCCTTCTGTATGGCAGTTCCCTGGTTATGGGATGCTCTCCCTCGGGAGATCAGGCTGGCCCACCCCCCCTTCCATCCTTTCGTCAATCGCTGAAGATCCATCTTTTCAGGAAGGCTTTGAACAATCATGATAGAGCCCCTGAATGCCATTTTTAAAAGTAAGAAGTTTTTAAACGTTGACTTGCTTCTAATGGATTCAATTGTATTTGAATGTGCGTACCGTTTATTAATTGTTTTTCTAATGTTTCCCTCATTATGTTTTTAATTTGATTCTTATGATATGGTGAGCCACCTTGGGTCCCCTTATGGGGAGAAAGGTGGTCTATAAATAAAACAAACAAACAGACAAATAAATAATAACCTCTGTGTGTGTGAGAGAGAGAGAGTCTGAGAGAGAGAGAGAGTCTGAGAGCGAGCGAGAGAGAGAGAGAAAGAAGGGGAGCATTGAAGAATGGGATGCCGATCTGCACATGCTCAGGGGTGCGACTACCACCACAGTTTTGAAAAGCATAGGTCTGTACACGCTCAGAGGTTCTAGTGTCCTGGAATCGTTTTCAACATGGGAAAACCCCCAAAAATGAACTCTGAACACCTCTATCTTAGATCCGTAAACTGGGGATAGAAATCAGTCACACACACACACACTCCACCGGCTCACCTTCAGGGTTGTGAAATAGCTGAGGGTTTCCTGCTCGTAAACCAGAGGATCTAAGGCTCTCATGAGGAAGATGATTGTCAAGAGGCACCCTAGAAAGAGAGACAATTTAGGCTGACCCAGCACCTCGCTGTGACGGCTGGCAACAATTCTTTGCAGAGGCAAAGCTGAATTCTGTGACCAATATACAGGCTGAAAATTCCGGTGCATGCCATGGGCTTTCCTGTATAATCTATCATGTTTTCTACTGGGAATGGACAGAGGGAAAAAAACAATATTTTTCTCCCTATCTTTTCATGCACTCCTCTGGGTTCAAATATACAGCTACTGGGTTTCGTGGTCATCTGTCCGTTGACACCCTATCCTCCAGAGTTTCAAAATACAAAACCCAAACCTCATTAAAGGACTATAATTTTGTATAATAGCACTGCAGAGGCTGGAAGGGACCCTCTGGATCATCGAGTCCAGCCCCTTTCAAGGAGGCGCCATGGCGAGTCCAGCCCCTCTTGAGGAGGCACCGTGGTGGAAATCGAACCCCCAGCCCCTGGCTCTGCAGCTAGAGGCCAAAAACACACATTCAAATGGGCTTCGTCAGAAAAAGCATTTTAAAAAGCGTTAGCATGCGAGGGAGCAGGTAGAACTTTCTGATGTTCCAAAAAGGTGAATGCCACCTCCTAAATATCTGGAAGTTGCCTGGCCCTGCTAAAAAGAAAGGTGCTAGTCCTCAATAATTTTTTTTTAAAAATGAGACTGGTAAGAGTGAAGGGGTGAAAATCAGAGAGAAACTGAATTTGCTCAGGTACTCTCAAGCTTGTTGTTGGAGACTTAAGGAATAGCAAGTTCATTAAAGAAGATCAATATTCCCTCTTCGATTCTTGAGATACAGGCCTATAGTATAAGCAAGGAAGACCTACATGGACATCTGAGAAGATAACCTATAAATCTTGCCGTCAAAACCCTGATCCTTTTCTGTCCATCCAAGCTGGAGGCAAATCCCCCAGACAAGGCTGTGCAACTCTAAACCTGTAGCCATAAGTGTGTGAACAAACGCTCCCTGGCCTCTGACACACCCCATTTCTGGAGCTGGCTTTTGTGGGGTGGACGGTAAGGCCCTTACATTTGTTTTCTGGCTCCAGAGCCTGCAGTTCTTTGCAGGATTCCAGTTCCGACTGCAGGACGGTGGACTTCTCCGTGGAGAGCTCACACCTGGGGTAAAGAGAAGGGAAAAGAGAAAGGGGGAAGAGAAGATCAGCAGGACAGCAAGCCGTTGAAAAGAAGTTGGGTGGGTTATTATTATTATTTTTTTGCTTGTTTATGTGATAGCCATTTCTCCACCCTTGCTGCTAATCCTCAAAAGAATGAAACGGAACGAACCAAAAGGTACAGACAAGCCAGCAGACAAGAAGGACAGCCGGCTGTGCTCGTTCCCGGCTCCCAGCCAGCTGATCAGGGATGACACCCATTTGCCTGGTCCTGAATCGAACTCACACGGACGGCTATTATTAGGGCTTGGAAAAAATGTGATGAAGGATCCTTGGAGGTACAGTCTAAAGAAGGAATTCCCCTGCCCCTGTAAAAGAAAAAGCTCTGGCCCTAATGATGACGATAATCTGAGAACTGCAGAGCTGGAAGGGACCCCATAGGATCATCCAGTCCAGCCCCAATCAAGGAGGCTCCACGGGGGATTCAAACTCCCAACCTCTGGCTCCGCAGCCAGAGACCTAAATCATTGTGCTATCCTGCAAAGTCAGCACAACCGATACTGCACACTTTGACAACCCTGCTCACCACAGAAGGGTACCTTTCACTTAGATGACTCAACTAGAATTCACCACTTCCCAAATTCATGTTTAGGAAACTTCCTCCCTTACTTTCTCTACACGGAAAACTCCCCCACCCCCACCCCGGAAGTGTTTCGAAAGAAATCACGCTTGTTCAGGGTGCCTGACTCTTCCGTTCTCCGCTAGCTGTCATACCCCCCCTGATTGACACTAGCCACATGAGGTCTCTTTGTGTCAGAGAAACACAGCCGGATACAGGATGTGTTTACTTGAAAGAAAGCCCCACTCCGTTCGGGAGGGTTGATTTTTTTTTTGTTTTTTGTAAAACCACGCACAGTGACGTATTTCAGAGTCTGCTTCTGGGTGTAGGTTTGTTCAGAAGATAGACCTTAAAACAGCCGAGAATCCTAGAATACCCTTTCTCCACCAAAAAGCAAACCAAGGCCAACCAGCACGAGAAACACTAAGTGAATGTCCAACAGGATCCTTACCCGGAAGCTGTCATTGATGGGCTTGGCAGAATTAGAACCGCATTGTTATGACTATGAACAACGAGTGTTTATGTCAAGGTTTTTCTAATTGGCAAAATATTTCAGTTTCTATCGCTCATCTTAGCAACTATGATACCTAGCAACATAGTCTAAGCTGTCCACGGAGTCCACAGATCAACTCGAATTCTAATCTCCCAAACTTTAGAGGCCCCTTCTAAATCAGTGATTCCATGATTGATCCATCCGTCCGTCCATCCATCCATCCATCCATCCATCCATCCATCCTCAGTTTCTGTCGCTCATCTTAGCAACTATGACACCTAGCAAAATAGTCTAAGCTGTCCATGGAGTCCACAGATCAACTCGAATTCTAATCTCCCAAACTTTAGAAGCCCCTTCTGAATCAGTGATTCCATGATTGATCCACCCATCCATCTGTCCATCCATCCCATCCATCCATCCATCCATCCTTCCTTCCATCCTTCCTTCCTGCCTTCCTGCCTTCCTGCCTTCCTGCCTTCCTTCCTGCCTTCCTTCCTGCCTTCCTTCCTGCCATCCTTCCTGCCATCCTTCCTTCCAGCCATCCTTGCATCCATCCAGATACCACACCATTAGTGCAAACACTATACTGGGAGATTTACACAAGGTTAAAACTCACAGCCCCTCAATACCCCACAATAAGGAAAAAAATACATTTCAAAAACACTACAGCGATACAACAGACAACAATTATAACGATAAATAGGAAAAAACCCTATAGACATCTAGAATTGATTAAAAGATTTCAAAAAGTTCTTGTTGACAACATCCGGGAGATGCTTCTTGAAGGCAGCTTTGAATCATTTGGAGATTCAGTTTATGAAAGGCAGCTTTAAATAATGTGGTCTTTACCACCCTTTTTACACCTCAGGAGGGAAGAAGCCTGGTTTATCTCTGTCGGTATTTTATTCCACTTTGGGTTCTTTTTAAGGAGAAAGGTGGGATAAAAATATTTTAAACAAACAAACTTTCCAGAGGCCACAATTGAAAAGGCACGATCGCTTCTATTCACCTTTTGGGTGCTGAAACTTTTAACCGCGTGGATTGAGACGAGCGTGTGGGATGGATCGCGGATTTGTAGCTAGCGGACTTTGTGAATGTGTTCGAGCCTTTGTTTTTGAAAGCTGCCAAGTCCAGCATGGCTGAACTTGACGGGAAAGCATGTGCAATGGAGTAAAAGTGTTTCAACGACTCTTGTCTAGGACCAAAGGTACCTGTGTACCCATTTCACAAAGGCAAAGCCTTCCGCCTCGTCCCCTCTCCTCACCTGAACACTTGTTCCTCGGTCACCGAATCCTGATTCCAGCAATCTTTGTGTCCTGAGGGTCAAAAGAGGGGAGAAAATCAAGTTGAATGGTGGAGGAATCCAGGAAAAGAGCAGGAAGAAGGGAAAGGTGGGCTGAGAGACACAACGAACTTACCTTTGAAAAGGACACACTCTTTCTGGGCGTCGCTCTCGGCCCACAGAACCCGGAAGGTATGCTGGGGCCAGTGGTCGTTGAGGGCCGAAGCCGGCAAGTCACACAGCTGGGAGAGGCCATGATTTAAGGAAAACCAAAGTCATCAGGAGACGAGACAGGGACGGCCATTTCCACGTGGGTTCAAGGACTCCTGATTCCCAGACGGTCCCCACTTCTTCAGATGGAACCCCCAAATTCTCTCATTCCTTTTCTCAAAACCAGCATGAGAAACACACCCACCCACCCGCATCATCCTCAGTCACCACCTAGTTCTGAACCACCTCAAATTGCCTTTTCGGTATGACACATTCGCGTCCAATAGGGGAGAGGGATTGGGTTTTTTCGAAAAGCAAATTCTAAACCTTAGAAAGGAATAGTTCTTTCTGAACATTCAATTCCTTAAGAGAGAGAGAAATCAAGGGGATGTCCAGGAGGGGGGGAGGGAAAAGGACAAAAACATTATTAAAAGGGTGCTGAATCTTCTGAGACTATAAATCACATCATTGCCAGTTGGGTGTATAACACCGGTGTATAAGTCTCTCAACTGGGCGGAGATATTTAGACATTTCCTCTTCGCATTTCTGAGAAGGGTGTAGAATTTGGGGTGCTTCTGGCCCACTGAAAGCAGGTTCCCTACAGAAAAGGGGTCCACAGGATACCCACATATATCCCGGCTGGTTCCTTCCGTCAGGGGTACGCCAACGGACCACCAGAGGCGACTCGTCCCCGAACACAATCAGGTCGTGAGAGGCCGGAGCGATCTAAAAACAAGAAGGCAATGCTCACCCAGCATGGCTGGACGGGTCCGTCACGGTCCCCGATTCCCTCGCATTCTCTGGGGGACTTACCGCCACAGGGTGGGAGAAAGCCACAGCCAAGGTGGCGTCCTCTCTGTTGACGTAGACACAACGGATCGTCGGTTCCGGATCAGCTGAGGGGACGGGAAAGAAGGGATGATGCCTCCAAACCAGAGGACCGAAAAAGGGGGTCGAAGAGTGTCAGGAAAGCCCGGTGGATGCCAACTGAAGTTTGGAGATGTTTTACTCTTTTTTTTTCTCCAGAGGACAAAATCCAGAATCCCCCCCAGCCAACCCTAGTGCTGGGAAGTCTGGAGGGGATCGTTCAAAACAGGAACATCTACAAACTCACATTCTGGCCACGGAGTGTAAACGGGTTTCTCAGAAGGGTCAAAAAAAGAGAGAGACACTCACGGATCCTGAAACCAACCTAGCCCTCTTTGGCCTGCTCCAGTTCCCACCTGAATCCATCTTCAGGGTATTCAAGACAGAGCTGAGAGGCCACCGGTCAGAAAGCTCTTGTCTTTTTGAGCCTCCCTCCCTCCCTACTGCCCAAACACGGGAGGTGGCGGTGCAGTTCCTACCTCTTCCCAGGAGCCAGCGATGATAGAACCACGCGCTCTGATCGTTCGGATCGGTGAAGAAGGCATTTTGCACCAGTTCCAGTTCTGAAAGAAGTCGCATCAGGAGTCAGGACAGTCCCAGGCAGCTGTTACCTTGACCAAGGCTACCCTCTGACGTTAGACCTGCACACACCCTCCACAAACCCCCACTTAAAATCCTGCTGAGATTCTCATTTCGCACACTCCTCCTGATCAGAAGGGAGAAGTCTGGTTATTTTTTGGATAACAACACCCAGAATCCCCCAGGCAGCAGGACGACAATCGCCCAGAAAAGAGACTTCTCCAAGCAGTGCCCCTGAACCAGGATTACGATGGGCACACTTTGGGAATTTAAACTGCCAGCCCTTGGCATCACTCCTCCACCAACCAAGCCCACTGGGGTCTACAGACAGAGGAGGGGGGGGCTCATTAAAGGCACACTGGGCAGGATTTATTTATTTATTTATTTATTTATTTATTCATTCATTCATTCATTCATTCATTCATTCATTCATTCATTCATTCTATTTATACCCTGCCTATCTGGTCATTGCGACCACTCTAGGCGGCTTACAACATAAAAACATAACAAATATAAGAAAAAAGAAAAAAAATTATTACACAATTAAATAATTCTGCAAGATGGGAAGCGTACAAAATAAATCAAGTAGAGAGTAAAGGGGAGAGAGTCAGGAATTAACTGGGGGGGGGAAAGGCCTGTTACCACTTGGAAAGACAGTTCCAAAAAGTAATTAGTCACACAGACGAATTTCAAAACCCCTTCTTTGTTACTTAACTATAATGGTAAGTAACATCTTGAATAGGAATGCTTTACTTTCTTTTTCCCCCCTCAAAAGTAACCAAGGTAATTGCTTCTAGGCCAGAATCCTACTGCTAATTCACACTGTGCAAGGAAAACCATCCCATTCTGGAGGGCAAGTTGCTGCTCTTTTAGTGAGGTGCTGGTCGCATGCCTGGGCATGCATCTCCTCCTATGTCCAGGAATGCAACCAGCACCTCATTAAACAAGCAGCAATTTGCCACCAGGAAGATCGCCCGGGCTGTAGGTTTATTCCAGGGCTTGTAGCTGAGGTACCCTGAGAGCTAGTCACAAGTTTCGTTTTTGCTTCCGGGAAAGACAGGGAATTGAACCTTAAAATGCTGCATGAAACAAAACAAAACAAACACACACAAGTTCTACTTAACTGGGGCCTTCTGAAATATATGCTGAAGAATAATAAAAAAGTTCCCTTTCAGCAGAGAGGAAATGACTACAAACTTAGACAATAGTTTCTGTTATTAAAACGCTTCATGTTTAACGGTTCAAGAGTCCTTCACAATATGCTTTTGAAGCTGTCCTTTTGGAGCTTGTTCTGGTACAGAGTAGACATGGGCACTTGGTATCCATTTCCCTGGAGAAACGAAACAAACCATAGCACTGCAGTGGTGGGCCCAATCCCGCACCCCCTCCCAGAACTGGCCAGGCCACCTAACGGGGCTCTGCATGGTACTCGGTTCCATCGCCATTGCCAGCACGCCAATCCCCCCCGAAGGAGCCCGGCCAGCCCTTCCCTGCTTCCCCAGGCAGCTGACCACTTTGGTGCAGAGGTGGGACAGTGGAGTCTCCCTGCTCAGCTGATGAGTGGTCAGCTGCCTGGGGAGGTGGGGAAGGGCCAGTTGGGCTTCTTCTGGGACTGGCTCAACAATGACAGTGACAGAGCTGCGTGCCGCCCGTTAGGTGGCTTGGCTGGTTCTATGGGGCAGGATTGGACCATCACAAGACTCGATGCAGTTTTGGAAGGGGAATGGACCTTCCAGAGAAAAGTCTAGTGCAGAGCCTGGCCAAGCTACTCTTCTGAACTACAACTCCCAGAATACCCAAGCCGTCCTGGGGCATGGATTTGGGAAAGTGTAATCCTGAAAAGTAACGTTTCCAAGATCAAATTAGGAGTTCACACTGGCTTCCTTTCTTCCCCACCTTGACAAATACCTTTACTTTCTCTTACAGGTTAAACTGCAGCAATTCTGAAACTTCAAAGAGCAGAAACCACCCAAAACCTCAATGTATTGTTGGCGCCTATCAAAATCAAAACCACAAAGGATGTGGTGGCTGGTCTCTTGTTCACGACTTGATCCCTTTAAGACAACACCATGAAAGAAAGAGTCCAAAATGGTAAGCAGATACTCTTGATATCGGATAGAGAACAATAGGGACTGGACTGCAGAAGAATTCATAACGGATTTGCTAACAGCCGCAAGCTTAATTCTAGCAAAGAATTGGAAAGTGAAGTATAATTTTCAATTCAGCAATTGGTATCAAGAAGTTTAGACTATAGCCACGAGTGATCAGTTTTGTGCCCGTGTGTGTTCTGTGCTGTACAGTCAGAACTGCCTTACAGCAACTCCCCAAGACAAGTTTCCATGATGGTGGGGGAATTCGAACCCTGTTCTCCAGAGTCCTAATCAGACACTCTATCCGCTACACCACACTCAGTGAAAGTTGAGGCTCAATAGGATTCCAAACTGGGGCAAGGTTTGTCTGACTCTAGCAGGCTCTCTTTCTCTCTCCCTCCCTCCCGGTTTCTTCCCCTGGCCTTATTTCCTGAACCAGCTTTAAACCTGGACTAGCTTTTCCCGCAACTTTTTGGAGGCCAGCGACTTTTGGCTTGCCTTGGGTTTACTGAGCAATTTATTTCCATACCCTGTTTCCCACTGTATTGCCGTGATTGGATCCTGTTTTATGGTCTGCATTCTGGCTTGAACGTTCTGGACATAAGGCAACAGGCGTGTGTGTAGATCTTTCCTGTAGGACTCCTCTATCCACGGGATCAGTATCAGCAGTTTCAGTTCCCTGTGGTTTACCACAGCTTTATGGAAGAGAACTTAAGGTAAAGAAAGAGGATGAAGCCATTGAGCAGATATTGCTATGGGGTGCGTGAGTGACGTCCATGGCTAAGGTTATGGCAACCTAATGTTATTTGTTTGGATTGCAACTCCCAGAATCCCTGAGCCCGTGTGGTCATTGAGGATAGGAAGACCCAGGCAACACAAACCTGGGGAGACACCCCTTTTCACTTGAAAAAGGCCTGGATTTGTATTGGTGGGGTGACCGAGGCCTCTTGCACGAGATGCGTCACTCTTCTTATGCAACATGACTCATTTCTCTGAGCCAGCGAAAGGTTCAGTTCCTTCCCGATGTGGAAGAAACGCAAGCCCCTCTTCATTGTAGTGAGCGCTCCAACGCTGGAGGCCTTCAAGAGAAAGTCAGACCACCCTCTGTCCGATCGGCTTCAATTAGGTTCCTGCCTTGAGCAAGGGGTTGGACTGGATGACCTTCCAAGGCCCCCTTCCAACGTCACGGTTCAAGGCTTTTGATCCACCGGGGGGTGGGGTGGGGACACAAGCAAGGGAGGAGGGGGAAAAATTCTTGAAATGCTCAAGGGAGCAAAATATGGGCGATGCAGGAGGGAACAAAGAGACCTCAGGGAGGGTCAGCCTAAAGAACGCGCTAAGCAAAGTGAAGTTGTTTGCTCTGCGCCGTTGACGAGAAGATGAGACGGCAAAGTCAGGCTGACAAATCATGAATCAGGACAAGAAACGGTGAGGTTCCAGTTTGGCCCGTCCATGCTTCCTTTCCTCCCAACATCCATCTTCACAAAGCCTCTGGGTGAGGCCTTCTCAGGTGGGTTCAGCCCAGGGCCAGATTCCCACGCCCAATTCCTGTCTCTGGATATCCAGCGGCTGGCCGTTGAGCCGATCAGACCAAACAAAGGAGCCGGCGGGCGGGCGGGCTGGGCGAATGACGCCCGATCTCTTCCAGGCGGTGGCCGATCGCCTTGGAATTTCACCTGTCCAGGTGAGAGGCTGGGCCCCTGCAGCGGAATCCTGGCATGCCCTTTTACTCATGACGCAACCATTTCTTTTAGGGCTGGGGAAGAGAGCCGCCACTGCCGTGATTCACAACCCACCCATCTACGTATGGAGCTCTCAGGAAATAAAGATTTCAACTCCTGGAAAGCGGCTCCACCTTCTTTAATCCAGAACTGGGAACTCAGCCAGAGAGACCTGTCCTTTCACTGATACTTCAAAAAGGAGGGGATCCAGATCCGGTGGGAGGATCCTCGGTGTGCATTCTGCAGGGTGGGGGCTTGAGGGGCCGAGTCCAGAGGAGGGCAAGAAGGAGGATCGGGGAGCTGGAAACCAAACCTTGCGAAGAAAGACGGAAAGAACCAGGCGTGTTTAGCCTTGAGAACAGAAGACCCTGGACAGACAGAATAGCCCTCTCCAAAGATATGAAAGGTAGCCTTCCAGAGGAGGGGCAGGATCTGTGCTTGACCATCCCAGAGTGCAGGACACGTCATCATGGGGTCAAGTTACAGGAAGCCAGATTTTGGTCGAATACTGAAAAAAAACACTTCCTAACTGTTAGAGCAGTACGACAATAGAACCCATCTAGTTCAGATGTGGGACGCATGTGATTTATCCCCAGTATGATTTCTGCATCCTCCAAGGCCATTCCAGAACCCTCCTGCATTGAAAAAAAAGAGATCTACCTCCAGTCCTGGGATGTCTTTGGAACAGGGGCTTTAAGTTCAGGAGACTCGGAAGGGGTTTCAAGAGACACCCTTCCCCCATAAACCGAAAACAAAAACTGGAAAACTCATCCAGGAAACACACTCCTTTTTACTGTTTTTCTTCCTGCTTTCTTCTGCCAACTTTGGTCTGCACGACTGCCTGCTGTATCCCTGGAATTTAAGTGAGTAAAGTACAGTGGGGTCTTGACTTAAGAACGGCTTGAGTTAAGAACATTTTGACTTAAGAACCGCTCTCATAGGAAAATATTGACTTGACTTACATACTTAGATTTGAGTTAAGAATGAAAAAAATCCACGTGGGAGACAGGGAAAGTGCAAAATTTGAACTTTCAGTTAACTGTTGGCCAGTGAAAAGGGTGCCTGTCTGCTTCCTCACTCCTCCCAGCGTTTAGAGAGTGGATTGGGAGCCTTCAGACTGCCTGGACTGTCTTTTCCCTGCCTTCCCTGAACCTTTCTTGACCTAAGAAAAAAAGAAACAAAATATCCCCCTCTAGTGGTCGAAGGCGGAATAGCAGCTTCCCATTAGTTTCTATGGACGGAAAAGAGCAGATACGGATCAAATGGTTTTCAATGCATTTCTATGGGAAATGCAGATTTGACCTGCAAACTTTTTGACTTGAGAACCGCCTTCCAATACGGATTAAGTTCTCAAGTCAAGACCCCACTGTACTTTTTTATGCTTTATCCCTAAAGACAGCCTCCTTGAATCTTGTTTCATAAAAGGACTAGTCTTTGGAGAGGGTGGAAATCCTGACATTTTGAGAGCTGGCCCTTCCACTGTGCATTTTTGTTGGAAATCGAAGCAAGTTTCAAGAACTCTCAACCCATCTCTATATGAAGCTTTTATCCATAAGGCAGTGGTTTCCGTTCCCATCCATACCGTCTTCTGTCCCCAAAGCATGAGACACCTCCCAATATAAAGTTTGAAAAACTTGCCACGGCTTCTACTTCACTGAAGAGGATCCGACCTGCTTAAGTAGCCAGGGATTCCCTCCCAGCCCAAAAGCATCTACAGGCAAACCCGAGATCAGCAACCCACCTTTCAGCAGGATTTCTTCGGTGATCCGGCCTTGCTGCTGGGGGTCCGGGTAAAGCTTTGGAAGGAGGAGGCTGCGGTAATGCCAGGAGGAATAGTTGGAGAAGTTCCGGGTGATGAGGCTGTCACTGAAGGCCAGCTCATCCTCCGGGAGGACCTGCGAGTGCTGGACCACAAAGCGACGATAGTCCCAGCAGTGAACTGAAGGGGGCAGCAGAGAGATGCAAGAGGATTGGAGTTGACTGGGAACAACATACACTAGGACCCCCCCCTTATCCTTAGGGGTTCAGTTCCAAGCCCCCATGGATACTGAAAAACTGGGATAATAGTGAACACCATTATACAGTGGTGCCTCACATTGCGATGTTAATTTGTTCCGAAAAAATCGCTGTTGCACGAAAACGTCGCATTGCGAAAATAAAAAGCCCATAGAAATGCATTAAAACCTGATTAATGCGTTCCTATGGGCTTAAAACTCACTGTTCAGCGAAGATCCTCCATAGCACCACCATTTTCGCTGCCTCTAAAGTGAGGAATCCATCCCAGAAAACAGCGGGCAGCCATGTTTTTTCCCCGGTGGCCATTTTGAAATCGCCGATCAGCTGTGCGAAAATGGGCGTTTTGCGATGATCGCAGGGAACCGATCATCGCAAAGTGAAAATCCCCCATAGGGAACATTGCTAAGTGATTGCTTTTGCGATCGCAAAAAGTCCATCGCTAAGCGATTTCATCGCTAAACAGCGCGATCGCTAAGCAAGGCACCACTGTATTACTGAACACTATACTTAGTATGTTTTCTTTCTCCCTCTTGTGGCCCGTTCTGGTAAAGGCATCATGAAAACAAAGGTTTCCTTTGGTTCTTGGACCCAATGAAAGCGCCTAAGGACAACTTCCAGCAGAATTCTAATCTGATGTAAGAATTTAGAACTTTAGAACAGCAGCACTGGAAAGGGACCTTAAGGATCATGGAGTCCAGCCCCCGCCAAGGAGGAATCGAACTTCCAACCCCTGACTCTGCAGCCAGAGATAGAAGCCCCTGAGCTATTCCAGCCGGCTAATAATCTTAGAATTGCCGAGTTGGAAAGGGATAATCAAGTTCACCCTTGTCAAACAGGCCCAGTGGGGGGAACCGAACTCCCAAACCTCTGGTTAGGAGCGGATGACGGATGCATGGGTGGAGCTGAGAAAAAAGGTAGGAAAGAAAGGCACGTACAGTTGCGTTCGTCCGTCTCCAAGAATTTGCTGCAAAGCTCAAGCTCCCGGGCCCAGTTCGGCTCTGGGATGTGCTGCATCACCCAGCAGCGATGGTGCCACGTCCCGTAGGATTTGGGGTTCACACGCAGGCAGGATTCCAGGAAGGAGAGCTCCGCCTTGCAGAGGGATTGCATCTCCTCCGGGGCCCTGGGACAGAGAAGAACCAAAGTCTCAGGGAGATGGGGGCCGCTCCATCTTACATTTCACCATGCCCAACCTCCCTTGTCTAAGTCGTCTCCCTCCCTCCTGCCCACCCCAACTCACTCCTTCTCCAGGTGAAGAAAGATCTCCCGTCGGAAGTTCCAGAGGGTGGCAAAGTCTGGGTTCGCACCCAAGACTTGACTGGTCAGTTCCAGGGCCTCTTTGTCCAGCTGTCCCGTTTTCCTCTGGAAAAAAAAAAGACATGCTATTAAAGGAGTCTCGTGGTGTGGTGGTTGAACTGCAGTACAGTGGGGTCTTGACTTGAGAACTTAATCTGTATTGGAAGGCAGTTCTCAAGTCAAAAAGTCTGTAAGTCAAGTCTCCATTGACCTACAGTGCATTGAAAACCGATTAAACCCATAACCTGCCATTTTTGTTCTATTTTGGTTTTGTTCTGGTCTGTAGGTCGATTCTCCGGCTGCAAGCCAAACCTAAATTTTGCGGCCAGAGAAGTATGTAACTCGAAAAGTCTGTAAGTCGAGCTGTCTGTAAGTCGAGAGTCCACTGCATAAGCAGCACACTTTGCTTTTTAATACCTAGGGCATCTGCCGAAGTTCAATTTCGTCCCTGCCTGGCACAGCCTTCACCCATTCCTCCAGAAAGGAAAGTCTTAGACTAGGAGATCACGCCATCCTCTTGGCCCCCTCGTCCTTTTTACCTTCTCAAAAATGGCTCTGGTGACTGTCACATATTGGCGTAGCTTCTTCTCCCGTTCGAGGCGTTTGGCTTCAGCCTGCTCTTCTGTCGTCTTCACTTTCAGCCTGCCGTGCTGGTAGGATAGGGCAGCAACGAGGTTTTTGAGAGAAAAAGATAATACCATTAAACGGGGATTGAGAGTTCTCTTTGCGGCATTAATTCAAGGAAGAATGGGGCAGGAAGAGAAGCAAGAATGGGAATAGATAACCTAGAAAGCAGACGGGAAGAGTCACTGACAACAGATCCTATGGAAAAGAGCAGAAGCATCCTCTGTTTCCTGAATTACAATTCCCCAAACCTCCCATGTAATTTGGGCCAGGTGCCTGGGGGATTATGGGAGGGGTAGTCCATTAAAAAAGGAGAAAGAAGGATAAGAAAAGGAAGTAGGATTTCTGGTATCTTTGCTAGGTGTTACTTACCATCCTGGCTGCACAGTTAAAACAGCTCCAGAGGGGAAGGTTAGGTATCCTAGGGAAGAAAGTTAAAAAAAATTAACAAGGGTGAACCAAGGTGATGAGTAGTTTGGAGTGGGACCTTTAGAAGCCACTTAGTTTTATGATTTTGTTTGTTTGACTCTCTTCTTCTCTCAAAAGAGCTTAAATCTGCCTGCACAGTTCTTGGCTAGCATTTTGTTTTATCCTCTCAACAAAACCACGAGATAAGCCAGATGAGGAATAACTGAAACTCGTGAGTTTTGCAGGGATTTGAAATTGCATTTCCACGGGCTTCTGTGCTTTCTGGATGGCTTAGACTAGACATTTCATAACTCCCTGCCAGCTGGCTGAGGATCATGGAAGTTGTAATCCAACCCACGGAGAGAGTGCCAGGTTTCAGCAAAGCGGCTGAAACGTCCGACCTCCATTTACAGTAAACTGCCGGGTCTTCTTCTTGTCCTATTTTAAGGGTTCTGAAAAGCACTAGATTTTCTTGCAGTGCCAGGAAGGAAGCCAGCTGAAAATAAATCACTTTCCACAAGGCTTCCTGGGTTACAGAGCGGGAAGGACCACAGCAGGTCCCACAAAACCCTTTGCAAACAATACAACCCACGAACCCAGCACCAACGCTGGTTGACCAGCCAGTCCTCTATTGTAGGTTTCCCCGACCAGATGAGCTTTCAGAATGTGGCAGACTACAATTCCATTATCCTTAGAAGGGAAGCATCCAACAAAGCTAAGAGGGCTTTCCTCTTGGTTGGAAGATGCCTATATTCCTGGACCACAACCAGGTACAGTGGTGCCCACATTACGACGAACCCGTGCAATACTGAAATCGCTTGACAATGACTTTTTTGCGATCGCTACAGCGATTGCAAAACAATGTTTCCTATGGGTTTTTTTCGCTTAACGATGATTAGGTCCCTGCTTCGGGAACCGTTTTTTGCTGGATGACGATTTTCCAAGCTGATCGTCGGGTTTCTAAAATGGCCTCCCGCTGTTTTCCAACCCTTGTTTCGGAAGACAGGCATTAAAAACAGCTGATCGGCGCTCACAAAATGGCCGCCCTATGGAGGATCTTCGCTGGACGAGCAGGTATTTTCCCCATTGGAACGCATTAACCGGTTTTCAATGCATTTCAATGGGGATTTTATTTTCGCATGACGACGGTTTTGCTGTACAGCAATTTTGACAGACGATGATTTCGCTGTACAGCGATTTTGAGAGAACGAATTATCATCATCATGTGGGGCATCATTGTATTCTTATGCCCCTTGCAAGTTCTCATGAAGAACAGCCCGATGGGGCCACTGGAAGCATCTTTTCAAGCCTGCCCTCAATGTTTTATTGCCTAGTTCTTTCAATCAAGAACTGAGGTGTCAGAATTCAGTCACCCTATTGATTTCCCATAATCCCTCTTACCTAGGGTCACCTAGGGCATTGTGGGAAATTTCTAAAAAGTCACTCAATTCCACAGCCCAACGGTGGCCAACCGTTTGTCAGGGTCCTCCTGACAGGAGAGGAGGGTCTAATGAAGAATACCTTGCTAGGTGAAATATTTAAGATGAGAAGTTACATTTCTTGGCATAGCTAGGAAATGACCACTTTTGGGGGGGCTTTGAAGGTTAACTTGAGCCGCTAGCATTGTCACACACACCCCCGCCATTCTTTCATTCTTCCCGGAAGCCTAACGAGAAAATAAAAGCCGTGCGTAAATGAAATTATAATCAAGAGCATTGTGATGACCTGTGGTTCTTAACCTTTGTTACTCAGGTGCTTTTGAACTGCAACTCCCAGAAACCCCAGCCAACAGAGCTGATGGTGAAGGCTTCTGGGAGTTGCAGTCCAAAAACATCTGAGTAACAAAGGTTAAGAACCAGTGCGAGACCCACAGATTTACTTGACTTATGAAAAGAGCACTTCATGGCTTAAAAAACAAAACAAACCCATGAGAAGGGTTGCCACAAGAATCTGTGGTTCCTAACTTGGGGTTCCCCAGAGGTTCTTGGACTATAACTCCCAGAAATCCTGGCCAGTGCAGCCAGTGGTGAAGGCTTCTGGGAGTTGTAGTCCGAGAAAACCCCCTGGAGACCCCCAATTTGGAACCAGCTGGAAGATTATGGGAGTTGTAGTCCAAGACCCTCCAGGGAACCCCAGGTTGGGAGCCGCTGCAAGATTCTTTGATGCCACAGAATCACACTTGCAGCATTGGGCCTCTCAAGAAAGGCTTTCTTTGGCTACCCCTTCCCTTGGGGGTGGGGAGAGGAAAGAGGGTCTGAGCATGCAGCATCATCCTATCCCACCCTGAATTTACACACGTTATCCGTCCTTCCCTCACTTCCGAATAACGCAAATGGACAATTTAAAGCCCCACTCTGCTCCACCCGTTCCCCCCTCCTGGCAGGGATGGAATGGTCTCTTCCGGGAGAATCTGGCCGGGCTCCCATGGGGCGAGACCATCCCCAAACCACCCGCAGGGGTGGGGACGGATCAGGGGGGGAAAAAAGGTGCTGCCGCGCTCACCCAAGAGGCTTCTAGGGGACGATACCAACCAGCCACGAAAGAAGGGGAGACGCGCGGAGGATATGGAGTTGTCCCGAACCGAGTGGTCTCGCCCGCCGCTGTTCTGTGTAAGCGAAGGTGGGCTCCTATGGGCGATTCCACTTGGGACGCAGAGGGGGGGAGACGATGTCACGATAGAAACGGAACCTACTACTGTATTGCCTAGCCGGGGAATCATAGAGTTTAAACCTCCAATTGGGACGGAGAGACCCTACTCTTAAAGGGGCAGGTTTATTTTTATTTTTTAACCCTTAAAGGGAAAGCGATGCCCCAAGAAAAATATTGTTTACTTTGGTTCCTAATAGCAATATGGAGAAAAAAAATTTATTTAAGCAGGAAAAGGGGTGTGAGTTGTTTTCTGAACACGCCCAAGTTTCTGCTGTTCCCAGTTTAATCGAAAACATAGGTACCATTCTTGATTTATAGGCGAAGACAACATACACGCCCAAGTTTCTGCTGTTCCCAGTTTCATCGAATACATAGGTACTTGATTTATAGGTGCAGACAACATAATAAAAAAGAGACAAAAACATGGTGGCACCTTAAAGACAAAACATATATATTTTTTAATGGGAGTTTTCGTGGACAAGTCTGAGGAAGTGGACTTGTCCACGAAAGCTCACGTCAAAAAATATAAAAGTTAGTCTTTAAGGTGCCACCATTTTTGTCTTTTTAAATTTTTTTATTTCGTATTCACCTGTAAAGCTTGCCATTCCTGATGTGACAGAGCATGGATGATTCCAACATAAATAATTGTTTGTAATTGCTGCTTTCAGTGGGTAATTGCTGATATCATATTTACTTTAGAAGCAATGAGTCAATTAAAAACCCTATGTATTAAGAATGAGGCTTCCTTTTCTTTCACTGATCCCTTCCATCACTTCAGAGAAGAAACCATGAAATGCACCAACATGCAACAGACGAAACTATGAGTTCATGCTTCACATAGTTTCCATTTCCAAATTGCATAACATTCTACTTCCAAGGCGCTTTCTCATTGAAAAAGAATTCTGTGGAATTCAGAAGCTTACAACCATTAATTCTCCAATACAGGTCACAAAGCTTTCACTTTCATCCATCAATATGTGGATTTACTACGAGAAAGGAAGGTCCTGATCTTCATGAAGGGTGCTTCTACCTGGTTATAAAGCAGAACTGGAAAAAGGGTGGGGATGGCATAGAATTGGCAGGCACCTGGGGACGCTCCCTCCTGGAGCGATTTGCCCAGAACAGGTGGGAAACAAAGGATGTGACATTTGATCATGAATGATGTTCCTTCCATTGGAAACACCTCGGGTGGGTCTGTGCTTTTTCACTTAATGAGAACACAACCGCTTCCTGGTAAAATAAATTTTAAATTGTCCAAGTCACAAGGTTAATGGTTGTCAGGAATTGAGAAAGACATACCTAAGAACTCTCTTTTTTTTCTTTCCCTTCCGAAGGATTTGGGGTGGGGAAGAGCACAGTTGCTCCCATGGGATAACTACAACCCAGCCGCATAAATCTCAGGCTATGGAAAGTGGGAGATATCCAAATCTTGTTTGCTGGTTAGGAGATCTTTTGCAAATTCATCACGGAGGTTCCCTCATCGGCTATCAATAATATCATCAGTGATATTTTAATGATATATAAAAATATTTGGGGGGGGGGAAGGTAGTGACATTTTGTTGCCTGAGGTGGATCACGAATCGGCACCATCCCCTCACCCAGGTTAGGATCTGGAGGACTCATAAGAATGAAAAAAGTCCCACAAGCAGCAGTAAAAACAACAACACAATAATATCAAGTTATTGTGTTCCCACTGTGTTGTAAAACACAGTAGATTGCTCACTTTTTGTTTTAGCATGATCTAGAAGAGGCACAGGGACGTGGGTGGCGCTGCGGGTCAAACCGCAAAAGCCTCTGGGCTGCAAGGTCGGAAGACCTGCAGTCGTAAGATCGAATCCACGCGGCGGAGTGAGCTCCCATCGCTTGTCCCAGCTCCTGCCGACCTAGCGGTTCGAAAGCATATAAACATGCGAGTTGATAAATAGCGACCACCTCGGTGGGAAGGTCACGGCATTCCGTGTCTAGTCGCGCTGGCCACGTGACCACGGAAACTGTTTACGGACAAAACGTTGGCTCTTCGGCTTGGAGACAGGGATGAGTCGGACACAACTGGACTAAACGTCAAGGGGAACCTTTGCCTTACCTTTAGAAGTGGCACACGTTTATTTGCGCTAACTAGGAGAAAATAAGAAAATAAACGTGACTAATACACAAGTATGGAAATAGTTAAATAGTTTTCAGAGCAGTAGGGACCCAGTAAATCATTGAATCATAGAACAATGGAGTTGGAAGGGGGTCCTATAAAGCCACTGAGTCCCACCCCCTGCTCAAGGTAGGACCCAAATCAAACCGGACAGTTATCCGGTTTTCTCTTGAAGGCCTCCAGTGTTGGAGCACTCGCCACCTCCTGAGGCCATGGGCTCCATTGTCGTACTGCTCAAACAGTTTAAGAAGTTTTTCCTAATATTCAGCCTAAATCTGTTTTCCCGTAACTCAAGCCCATTATTATGTGTACTCTGGGATGATGGAGAACAGATCTCGCCCCTCTTCTGTATGCCAGCCTTTCAAGGACTTGAAAAGCACAATGATACTTCCTCTTAAGCCTTCTTTTTCTCAAGTCTAAGCATTACTAGTTCTTTGAAGTCTTTCTTCACAGGGCTTGGTTTCCAGTCCCCTGATCATCATCCTTATTGCCCTCCTCTGAACCTGCTCCAGTTTGTCAGCATCCTTCTCGAAGTGGGGTGCCCAGAACTGGACACAATACTCATGATGATGCCTAAGTACTGTAGTGCCAAATGGAGGGGAACCAGCACCTTGAGAGATGTGGAAACTATACTTCTATTAATGCAGCCTAAAATAGCATTTGCCTTTTTTATTTCCAGCCACATCACACTGTTGTCTCATTGCATATTAATAACTATTTAATCAGGGCTTTTTGCTCTCAATAAGTTCCCAAGTGTTTCTGGCGGGGAAGATGATATTTTGGCTCAAAGCATCCTGTTAAACTTGTTTCTGAAAACAATGTTTTTGAGAACACGTATCCACCCATGCAGACGACTGATAAGAATCACTTAATTTCCACCCGGCGGGGCGCAAAGGGTTAAAATGGAGGCTCCACGCGGGGCTCTGCCGCGGTGCACGCCGGGATGCGGAACAGCTCACTTCCCCCCCCTTGCTCGCAATGCATCTCGGGCAGTGAGGAGTGTGGCGTGCTGGGCGCGCGGTGCATGGTGGGAGAAGCCCTTTTCCTTGCCATGCGACTAGGAAGGAAATAGGTTGTCGTTGTTTCCTTCCAGTTGTGCTGTTTACAACGCGGATAAAACCTTTTGGGTGAGTACCTGATCAGTGTTTGTCCATATTAAAAAAAAAACCCTGAGAAGTTTTACTTTTGGAGGACTACAACTCCCAGAATGCCCCCAGCCAGCACATTGCCTGGGGAGGATTCTGGGAAATGTAGTTCAAAAAAGGAGCATTTCTAGCTCTTCCTTCTTTCTCTAAATTAGCTCTCTTACCGAACGAAATAGGTTGTCGTTGTTTCCTTCCAGTTGTGCTGTTTACAACGCGGATAAAACCTTTTGGGTAAGTACCTGATCAGTGTTTGTCCATATTTAAAAAAAAAAACCCAAAAGGTCCTGGGAAGTTTCACTTTTTGGGGACTACAACTCCCAGAATGCCCCCCAGCCAGCACATTGCACGGAGGATTCTGGGAAATGTAGTTCGAAAAAAGGAGCTTTTCCGGCTTTTCCTTCCTTCTTTCTCTAAATTAGCAGTCTTGCAGTTTTGGAGACTGGCGGATGTTGGGACTTGTAGTTCAAAAAAAAAGGAACTTCTCCAGGTTCTGCTTATTTACTTTTCCCCCTCATCTAATCAGACCATTTCCCCAGCCCCTGCTGCCTTTGACTGCCCAGGTGCTTCTGAAGCCAAAGGAAAAGAAAGCAGCGAGATTTTCTGACCTGTTCCTTGGTTACCTTTATCTCTTTTTTGGGGGGTGGGGAGATATCCTGGGTTTTAATGTTTATTGCTTTTCTTTATTTATGCCCTCGTGGGTGGGCTTGGTTAATTGTGTTTTATTTATTTATTTTATTTAATTAATTTCTATGCCGCCCAATCTACCCAGAGGTGTCTGGACGGCTCACAACAATTAAAATTCAAGACAATAAAATATAAAATGATTAAAATACGATTAAAATACAAATTAAAATTTAAATTGCCATCATCAAGACCCACAGTTGATGTTATTTCAATTAAAAGCCTTCTGGAACAGGAAGGTTTTGACCTGGCGCCGAAATGTCATCAACGTTGGCGCCAGACGAATTTCAGTCAGGAGGGCATTCCATAGTCTGGGGGCAGCTGCCGAGAAGGCCCTTTGTCTACAAGCCATCCCTCTTACCTCCTTGAGGAACAGCTCTTTCAAAAGGGCCCCCTGGCTAGATTTTAACAGCTGGGTAGGCTCATATGGAAGGAGGCGGTCCTTCAGGTATCCAGGGCCCAAGCCGTTTAGGGCTTTATATGTCAAAACAAGCACTTTGAATTGG